TGAAGTTGGAGGGTGTTTTTGGAACTGAAGAAAAATCAGAAGGAAGCAAGAGGATGCTTCACAGTCAAAAGAAAAAAAAAACCTGAACGAAAACGGAGCACACTGGATTAGCTAAGTCTTACCTAAATGCCCCATGGGATCACAGTATGGGATCAGTCAGATAAGACTCCACTAAAATCAAGGACAGGAAGGGAGGTTAAAACTGCCTTGGGGATCACAGGATCCTAAGCATGCCTATGGATTGGAAGTGGCCAATGATAAAGCCATGGCACCTCACTTCTGACAGTAAGTCGCCCATGCCAGTTAACGAGGGAGCTTGGCGAAGCAAACACCAGTGGTGTGACCACCATCAGTGGCTCTGGCAGGAAGCAGTCTGGGTACAGACCACACAGAACTTGAGACAAAGGACTTTGCAGCAATGGAAGCTGGTGATAAATGGACTGTATCAGTCACCAGCGCCTGGGTTTCTTGCTGATTCTCCTCAGATAAGAACATGCACTAAAATAGTCTTTAGGGGTGGATGGCATCTCTTTGGAAGATGCTAACCCAGGCTTGGAGGGGAAGGCTCCAAGGGGAGGGTGGGAGGAAGGAGTCTGGCACTGGTGTCCCCTGGTCCTAGAGCCACCTTGTGGCAGAAGTTAGAAGAAATACAGGAACCTTTTGTCTTTAACAACTTACCTTGGGTAGTATTTATTCCTGGTATACAAATAGACTTTGAGTGCCCATCCCACAATGAGGGATGCTGTCTCAGCCTGGACTCTTGTAGGAGGGCCTAGGCCCTTCCCTGGATGAAATGACAGACTCTGGAGATCCCCCATGGAGGGCCTCACCCTCCCTGGGGATTGGAGTGGAGATTGGGTCAGGGACTGGGACCCCTGGTGGGGAGGGCAGGGGAGGAGGGGAGGAAGAGGGAGCTGGGACTGACATGTGAAACAAGATTGTTTCTAACTTAAATAAAAATTTTTTAAAAAGGAAGAGAAAAAACAAAAAACAACTTGTGTCTCAGGGAAGCTCCAAATGCTGTGGCCTTAGTTTAACAAAGCAAAGATCTAGGGAATCTGATGGCAAAACCATACAGGGGACCCACAGAAAGTGCCTGGTGCTAGGGTGCAGCCTGGGAGTAGAATACTTAGCACACACAAAGTCCTGCATTACACACACACACACACACACACACACACACACACACACACACACACTGTGCCAAAGGATGCCAGGAGGGAGAAGAATTTGGCTCATTGTCCACAAAGTACATAATAATATAATAAAATTAAAAATTTATCTCTGGGGCCAGACTGCCTGTTTAGGCTTGAATCCTGGCTCTGCCACTCATCATGAATCACTGGGCAACTTATTCACCCTGGGTGGCAGAGTCCTCCTCTGTAAGCTGCATCAGGCACCCACACACCCACTGGCCCTACATGGATTAAGGAAGAATGAAGTAAGTTATCAGAAGTAAGGCATTTACAATGGTGACAGCCACACCCTGCTACTGTTATTAATCCTACCACCACTGTGGCTTCCACACACTAGGGACCTGCAAGGAAAAATATCCTCCATAAAGGATGCCATGAGGGTGAATGCAGAAGGAGTAAGATGTGATTACGCGGTTTCAAAAGGGGGCAGTCTCTCCACTACCAGTGCTTTTCCTTAAGGCATACCTGGGCTCCAACTCCAATCTCCCACTCATTGCTGATGGTGGTGAAGCTGGGGGCGGAGCACTCTTTGACTGTTCACTTATCAAGTGGAAACTAAATACTTTCCTCCTGCGGTTTCCGACACAAAGCCCCAGTGAGAGAGCACACACCAAGGACCCAATACTGTCTCCAGCACACAGTCCCCCTTGTCCCCAAATGAACACAACTGCACTGGCTGGTGTATTTTAGGGAGAAGCTCTTTGCAAAGTATTCAGTGATAAGTGCATAAATAATTACCACAGGACAGACAGTAACACTTAGAAGATGCACTCTCTGTGGCGCCTTAGCCATACTGAGAGCCACACACTGCTCCATGGCTTACCTTTGCTCTTCCCAGTCTCCAGAGGGCCAGCATATATGCTTCTGTCTACCCAGAAGAGTGGGCCTTGTGACAGCTATTTGTCAGGACCTTTGCCCTAGGGAGGACAAAGTGACACTTCACCCCCTCAAGGCCCCAATAGCAAATCAGAATCCAACACTACCAAAGCTTGCCTGGGAGAATTAGTGATTTTATTCAGCTTACTTACAGAGCAGTAGGCAAGGGGTTAAAGACAGGAGCAGGTACGACTGTAGAGCAGCCACACTGGACGGTCTGCACCCTGCAGGGATGGTGGTTTACCACAGCTGTTTGGCGTAGCCTACTCTTAAGTCTTCCGCCCACCTATGCACGCTAGCCTGCCCTTGGGACCACTGGCAATCAATGCAGAACTTCAATACAACTAGTTGAGAGGGATGTCTGGAAACTCAGGTGAGGGTCCCATGGCCCTTCCTGACCCTCATCCAATGAGGGAAAGTCAACAAGCCCAGGTATAGCTATCTTTTGCAGGTAGGCCCGGCAGCTTCCTGAAGACGGTGGCAGTTTGGAATGCTCAAAAGTCCCAGTGTCAACCACTACTTGTAGTCACTTCCCAGGGAAACCACAAGTAGTCTCAGTGGCATGTTGATGCTCAGGCAGATGTTGTTGCTGGATTCAGCCTTCTCGATGGCAGTCCAAGTTTGGAAAGCAGGACTTGCCCCTCCCTGAACCCCTTCCTTCCTCCCATGTGTATGGGACATGAAGGCGGTCTTAACCCCACAGTGATGGGAGCCAATACGATGGTAAGATGGAAAAGGCAGATGTGTGGAGTCAAAGGAATCTGGGCTCTCATCTCAGGCTGAGTCTCAGCTCTGCCACTTAGCTAGCCTTTGTTACGGCTCATAGTGGTCGAAGGAGTCACCATAAATTTGAATCAGAATCCAAGCAATGAGAACCTTAATGAACTAAGTGCACACGTGTGCTTCAGAGCTCTAGCTGATTCCAAGCAGTAACAGAAACAAGCAATAGTAGAGGCTTATTCACAGGGGCAATGGCAAGAAAGGTCACTGTCTCTGCTACCTCCCCAAGCTGCAAAATCACGTGATAGGTACTCAGAACACTGACCTTGAGTGACAGACAACGAAAATGCACACTTACCATCTATAAGTACTCTGCTCCGTAAGGCAGCCAGTGTGTATCTCCGCACCTTCCACAAGTGCTTACATCAAATAGGGTCTCTGCGTAACCCTCCATTAACCTGACCCCCACTGAAGAACAGCCTCGTCCTCAGCATCCTGTTGGCCTAGTTCAACTCTAATTGGCCAGATACAGTCTCAACATCTAGAAAGCCCATTTATTTCAAATGTGGTACAGAAGAGGCCTCTGTGATGGGGTCAGGCAAGGGAAGGGGAAACTCAGACCTTACCACTTTTTAACCTCACACTGCTACAAACCTGCCATCTGTGGTCGTCTGCAGTGACCAGACTGGGCACTCACTAATCATGGCAGGACAGGTCCAAACCATGTTTGCAAAGTGAGTGGGGCAGAAAGACCACCACCATTGGCTGTGTGGGTGCCTTTTCTATTCTGGGGGTGCAGCATCCTAGATTGGGCAGGCTGTTCCATCAGGTTCCAACCTAGCCAGCCACAAGGACAGACAGAAAAATCCAAGTTATTCCTCAGACCAGTGGACAATCTGATAAAGGTGTCTGGAGGAACCCCCACTGCAGAATGCTCCTCAAGTTAGTGCCTTCTGGATGAACGGACTCCCACAAGAGAAAGAAATTCAAACTCAGTCCAAATGACAGAATTCAAGCCCCTCAAAAAAAGACTACAGAAAAAGACCACATGGTTCCTTCAGTGACCAGCCCCATGACTTTAGACTAGCCCCTTAATTCCAGGGAACATGAAAATCTAATCAAAGGGCTGCTCTTCCCTACGGAGAAAAGAAGCTCAACAATGCCACTGTCTTTCCTTTTCCCTCTAAGTTCCTCTGTCTAAACAGCAGACAGGGTAACCTCCCCCACTAAGTTACTGCCAGGATTACAAAAGACCGGTTTAAAGGCTGGAGTGGCCTGCCCATGTTTTAATGTCAATCTCTTAACAGGGTGGGAGGGTGGCGGGCAGCCGCTGGTGACCATTCTAGATTAAGAAGAGTGCAAAGAGACAGTTCAACTCAAAGTGCCATGTGCTCCCTAACTGAGGTCTTCTTGGAGGTCGGGGGGTTACACTGAAGAACACTGATGAGACCACTAGGGAACTGTGGTAATAAGACTCTACCAATGCTGAATGCCTGAGTACGACAATGGGGTTGTGGCTGAGTGGGACAATGTCCTGTTCTTAGGGGTCACATGCTGGAGGATCTATGGCGTGTTCTAGTACCCTCCATCTACTCTGGAATGCAAAGGGGGGGATATACACAGCAGGTAGAAAACATGTAGAGTAAGACATGACCTGTCTGTCCACCAAGGAAAGGAGCGCCAGTGATTGAATTTTCAGGGTTGGGATACATGCTGGGTCAGGGCTCAGTACATCCTTCTTTCCTTCCTTCCTTCCTTCCTTCCTTCCTTCCTTCCTTCCTTCCTTCCTTCCTTCCTTCCTTCCTTCCTTTCTTTCCTCACATCTCCCAGTACTGCAAGCATATGCCTTTCATATCTTACCATATCACATAAGCAGGCATCCTCATGGCTCATATATCATGGAAGAACATGTCTTCACATATTATACTATGTCAAGTAAGAACAAGCATTTATATCTCATGTCATATGAACACATATCTTTGTGTCTTATGTTATGTAAGCATGCACCCGTGTCTCACTACATCACATAAGCAGACATCCCCCTGCCTCACTCTGTCACTTGAGGACCCATCCTCATGTCTTCTACCACATAAGCATATACCCTCACAGTCCCACCAGATCACATAAGCACACACCCAAGTGTCTCACCACACTGTGTAGACACACATGGACCCTACAGCGGGGAGGCCCTGAAGCCTGAGCACCTACCTGGCTGCAGCACCCGAATCTCCAGCAGGTTGGAGGTCCTCTCCGCCAGCCTTGTCCAGGTGTTGTTGTAGTTCCTCCGCCACAGCTCTGCCACACACTGGTACTTGCCTGCCTCTGTGTCACTGGCCCGACTGATGCTCAGGCGGACATTGTTGCTGGACTCAGCCTTCTCAATGGCAGTCCGAGTTCGGAAGGTGGATGACCTGTCTCCCCATTGAACCCCTCCATCCCGAGTGAAGGTCACCAGATCATGGAACTCAACCGTGCCTACTGGCTGGAACCGCCATGTCACTGACACGGGGACTCGGGAAGGGTAATGGGGTTTGATGATGCATTGCAAGTCAAAGGAGTCGCTGTAGGTCACCCCTGGCGTCCGGGAGATGGCTGTGACTGCAAAGCCCATTTCTGTAGGAAGAGCAGAGAGATGAAGAAGAGACAGCATCTGGCTTTTCTGGGGCAGTGTGTCATCAAATATGGGCCTCCTGGCAAAGCCGGCTGCAAGCTCTCAAGCTAGCTTGTCATGAGCAAGCTATTTCTTCAGGTACTGTGTTGAGACCCAACTCAACAATTCTTCCTAAGACTTCACGCAAAGAGGGCCTGGGCTATTCTCCTGAGCAACCCAGCCCTATCTCCTCCCAGTGATACCTGAGATCCTCGTGTGTGTTTACAATACATCCTCCTCTAGGGTAAGACAGCAGAGCCTTCCCAAGGGCTCATACTACATATCCAGGATCATTCCTAGCAATCCCAGAATTCTGTGCAAAAACAGAAGGAAATAAAACCTTCTAAAGCCAATTCCCTTCACTACATACCCAACCCCCAGATACCTGTCCCTGGTCCTCTAGAGCATGACATCCTGAAGCAGGCAAGTAGAGAAGGCTGCCAGCCCCTCCTCTAATTCCCCAACAAAACTTGGGTTTAGAACGGTAGTAAGGGACAAAGGATAGGAGAGCCTGGTCTTCAGCAGATGGACACCTGAGGTGGGGTGAGGCATCACTCCTAAATTGAGGTCCCTGCAGTCTCGTAGGCCATGGTCTCTCAATATCCCTTACTGACGGGGAAGCATCTCTGGCTTCCAACACTCATTCTCCAGTGCAAGGACTCACAGTTCCTTCAGTGTGGATGAGCACTTGGGCTATGATCGTAACAGTCATGGTGGCTGGTATGTGCTGAATGCTGCATGCCAAGTCTGGTGTCGGAGGCTCTGCCTTCACCCCTCCCACTGGATCAACACTTGTAGCTCAGACCGGCGCCTTTTGCAGGGCGCAGGGAAGTCAAGTAAACTTCCTGATATTGAGTGCAGTAAATGGTAGAGTCAGGCTACAGACCTATGTGCACCTCACCCCAGGGCTGCCAGGGGTTGCTCTGACTGGTCAAAGGCACCAACTCTGTAGGCGGTCCGCTTCTTGGGACACTTCCTAGCTGTATGACATTAAGCAAATACCGCCCCCTGCCGCCTCTGTTTTTCTTTCTGTAAAGGGTTCTTGTGAAGGTTTAAAGAGTATGTAGCACACTGTATATAGTCTAGAAAATACATAGCTTGTTTAAGAAACCAAATGGATGAAATACTGTAGTCTGCCCATGGAACATGAGGCACGCAGAGTCTTCGGGATTTCCCCAGGGAAGTGTTACAGAATAGGTTGTCAAAAATTGCTGAACTCTCTGGATCTTCAATTTAAAAATTGAAGACACAGAGACTGACCTTGTATGGCTGTAACGGTCACTTAGGCAATGGTGTGTAGCACACCTTCCACAAGAGCGGTACAGATTAGGGACGCCAGGGAACAGGTCCTGTGCTGGGTATTCCTAGCTTTACATATAGAGCCATGGTGCCCAGCCCGACAAGGGCCTACACTGTGGACACAGACCAGAGTGTTCTATGGTGTAGGCAGCCTATTAGTTCATCCACACGTCTGTCACTGCTGAGGGAGACCCATACCTAAAATACAGAAATCTGTGTGTGTCTCTGTTTACTTTAGATCAAAGACTATGGCTGGCAGAACAACCATGGTCCCAGTTCCAGAGGGGATCTAGAGAGACTGTCAAGTGAGCAGATCCGGCCTCAGGATTGGGGGGTGGGGTGGGGAGGCTGTTCAACCTGCCTTGGCTGTGGGAGGAGTTTAAGAATACTCCCAGGACAGATAACCTGAAACTGTAAAATTATTTCCAGGGAAAGAACCCCGAATCACCCTCCCCTGAATACTCCTAACCTCCCAGGATGGGGAAAAACTACATGTAGCAGATCCCAGAACCATCTCCCAAGTTCCCCTGCCTGAGTCCGCAGTGGTGCCAAGCACACACAACAGGGACTGCAATCATCACTGGAGGGAGTTCTAGAAACAGAAACCCGAGCTGCCTCGTGACTGCAGAAAGCCAGCCCATCTTTGGTACGAAGCATTCAGAAAGCAGATGCAGTTGTTGTGAGGTGGGTGAAGACACAGGCTGCATCTGGGTTTACAAGATGCTGTGTCCCTTCCAAGTCCTAGACGGCAAGCCAGTCTAGCCAAACGGGCGCCACGGGACGCCAGGGATCTGGAGCAACTTACCGCTTTCCTACCGTATGTTTCCTTCTTTTGACTGCGTGCCTTGTTTGAGGAGACACCTTGCTACCCTGAAAAGCTCAAGGATCCCCACATGTGGCTTCCCCCTTTTCCAAGGCAGCCTGAGGGAAGCCCTGCCATGGGGGTGGGGGTCAAGCATGGAATGGAAAACATTTTATCACCAGACAACTGAAAACAGACACGGGAGAATAAAATAAACGCAATCCTAATCTTGGGAGGGAGAACAAGGACTTGATCGCGAGCAGCTCTACCTTGTCTGCCATCTTTATTGGGTGCTCGACAGCATCACCAGCCTTACCTGAGGGAAGGTGGTGACACAGTCCCTGAGAATGGGGACTGACAAAGCTTCCTGACAAACTAAGTTATCTTCCCAGCAAAGTAGCGGGCTGGTCTTTTAAAATGTGGTAGACCCATTGTATCTGGCAGATAACACTGGCAGAAGCTGTTTTGGATACCCCGTGAGAAGCAAACCTAATATTATTTGGTTCCGCAAATCTCAAGGTATCTTTTTACTCCATGCAAATGAGGAAATGGTTTTTTTTTCTTAAGTGGGGGCTTTACAGAGGAGGAGATAAAACACACTAAATGGGGCAACTGAGATGAGTGCTGAGACTCAGCCAGACACGGGGCAAATGTTGTATTGTTGGCGATGCAATTTCCATCCTGTTCAGTCACTTTTGGGAGGGCTGGGCTGTGAGCAGCTGGGCAAGACACTCTGTGGGCAGGAGAAGCTTGTCACTGTACCTGGCCATTTCTCTCTTCCAGGCAGTTTTGCCACAGGCACGTCCTGCCAGTTGCTGACACTAATCTGACTAGAATCCCCATGCCCCCAACTCCAGGGGTGGTAACAGTCCACAGGAGTCACTAGCCCCATATGTCACCCACCCTCTACTGTTAGTTTCCTCAACTCTGCACATACTCCCCTAGAAACCCTTCAAGGAAATCTCTAGAAGATGCCATCATCTCCAATCAGAACATGTTTTCCTTTTTACCGCGTGCGAGCGTGCATGCATGTGTGCATGCGTGTGTGCATGGGTGTGCATGTGTGTGTGTGTGTAGAGATGCACATAAGAGTATATGCATGCTTGTATGTGGCTGCACGTGCATATGCATGTACGCACTCCTGAGTTTGATGTCAGGCATCCTCATTGTTCTTCCCCCTTATTCATTGAGGCAGGGTCTCTCAAACCCCCGAGCTCACTGGTATGGCTGCTCTCGATGGCTAGCTTGCTGTAAGGAGCGCATGTCTGCTTCTGAGGCTGGAATTACAGGCATGACACTGAGCCACTCAACATTTTCCTGGGGCTCTATGAACCTGAATCCCAGGTCTCTATGCTTACAGAATAAACCCTTTAACCACTGAGGAATCTCCCCAGGCCCTCCACCAACCAGAACTGACAACAGAGAAGGAAGCCTGACACAGAAGCACCTGCCATGGCCCCGCTGCTCACTCACCAAGGGCTGTGATGGAGACTAGTGTGCTGGCGCGGCGCTCTCCCACAATCTGCCACTCTCCATCCACGGCCCGCACCCACTCCGTCACATGGCATTCGTACTGGCCCTCGTCTTCCTTCCTGCTGTTGAAGATGCCCAGGCTGAAGGAGTTGGGCTGCACCTGCTCCATCTGGATGCCCCCAAAGCTGCTGCGCTCCCAGTAGGATGAGCCTGGCTGCACGGTGCCATCCCGGTCCAGCCACATGACGTTGCTGCGGCGGTTCTGCCTATCCACAAGCTGCCAGATGACAGAGAAGCGGCCCTGCAATCTGCCCACTGTGCGGACACTACAGGAGAAGTGCAGGTCCTCACCCTCGAGGATGACGCTGGCATTACTGGCCACCTCCACGGAGATGCTGCTTTCTGGGGAGAAGAGAGAGTGCCACACTGGGGTTTTACAGTCTCCATGGCGCCCTCCTCACAGATGACACAGGAAGAAGGATGCAAACAGAATCCCATGATCCTGATAGGGAAGCCCAAAGGATTCAAAACACTCTGATTTGTTCTGAAACACAACTTACTGTTGTAAGATCTGGCTGGTTCAAACTGGGCACTGCCCCCTAGATCTGGTAGCCTGGACTGCTCTTGCTTTGGGTAGTGTAATGGGAAAATGAGATCCTAAGACCTAACAGTGAATCTGAAGCTGAGAAATAGAATAATACAATGACAGGATGTTGATAGCATAAAATGGTCCGTGGGTGGCCTGTTCAGATGCAGTTCAGGGCTTTTGGCTTGGAGTTTCGGCATGAAGAATAACTTCCAAACCCTACTGCACCTCAATCTCCCACCACTTGGGGCTACAGCAGTCCAACAAAAGCTATAAACATCCTTAGCATGCCATTTGAATCCTTCAGGGAAATATTAGGAAGTAGGAAAAACTGTCAGGAAGTGTTTGGGAGATGGCATGTGCTTGAGTGTGGGAAATGGGGCCCAGACGGTCTGCTCTCACAGAGGGCGTGGAGAGTGTTTCACACTTTCATTTAAACAGGGGAGTGAGCCCCAGCCAGCGACCCACTGTCTACCGCTCTCCTATTAAACTCTCTCCCTCAGGCTCGGGGCACCTCTGCTCCCCACCCTGACGGTATGCCAAGCAAAGCTGGGGGTAAGAACCCCACTCTTGGCCTAGCTTGGTCTAGCCTTTGCCGCTCCTTTGGAATAGCTAGTCTCAGTCAAGGGGATGATGTAAACTCTACAAGCCTCAGCTCTGTCTTCTGTAAGACAGCATTTTTAACTTACAAAGGATGAAAAGGCAAGGAAGACAATGTACATGGATTGTGTAATGCACAGTACTGTTTGAAAGGCACTAGTCACAATCATGACTGATATTACTACACTCAGGGCTATCTCTGCTTTCATGAACAGGATGGCTAACACTTTCTTAATTATGCATATATTATTCTGTATAATTACCTATCTTGAGTTCAATGAGCTCATAAGAATTAACCAACACAAAGCATTAGTGTCATAATCAATTTGGATTCCATTTTCTAGGCACCGCTGACAATCGATTAAGTCAAAGCCCAGATCAAGAGGCACACCCAATCACGGCAGCCTTCAGATCCCCTGCATCCTGCTCCCCTTCATTTCCCCCACAGACAGAAACCGAAGAGAAGAGTGCCAGGCCTCCGCGCCCAGCTCTTGTCACAGTGCGTGTGCTGTGCCTGTTTCCCACAAAGGGGGTCTGGACAAGGTGGGAAAGGCAGTCTTCAGGAGGACAACCTGCCCAGGGTCCGCAGCACCACCTTTTGACTGCGGAATGTTGGTGTTCCTCCCAAGCCTCGGTTTACCGTGTGACAGCTGGGATTCTGCTAGTGCCTCCTTGGGGTCACGGCATGGAGAGGATGAAATGGGGAGACGGGCAGGGCTGAGGGTTGAACCTAAGGCTCAGGGATGCTCTGCAGCCATTCTACTGCTGGGTTACAGCCCTGTGCTTTGTCACCGGCAACACTCTCCCTCGCTGCTTTCAATTCAAGGTGAGAGACACAAAGGCCACTTGGCATCAAGGAAGAAAACCTTCTGTCTGCCTTACACAGCATGACCTGTAGAACATTAGTTGTATGCCCTACTGTCACCCCAGGGGACTCTTAAGGACATTCTGGATGACTGCTTGGAGAAAGGTTATAAGCCTAAATAGAAGGAGAGCCTTCTGGCAGCCGAGGCACGGGCAAACACAGATCTGGTGCTGCACTGCCCTTTGTAACTATTTATACAGGTTCCCAGGTTTATAACAGGGTAGCCAACCAGTTAAAATCCTCCACACTGAATGAAAACTAAGACAGAACTAATGAAAATCGGAATGTGTACTCATAAATGAAATTTCCAATCAGGAGGCTGCTGGCGGAGCACAGGCTAAGCGCAGAGCAGCGGGTTCGGAGTTAGAGCAAATGTTCCTAATGCAATTGCAAGCTCAACCACTAACTGAACAATCGGATCAGACACTTCCCTGTGTGTGCTCTGATGTCTCCATTCACAAGATGGATGTAACACTAGCTTCTACAGGAATTGGAGGCTTGAGAGCAGAGAGATCATTTATGCAGAAGCACTTTGGGTTCTTAGGAAGAAAGGTGCCATTAAAGTCCAGGGCATTATCACCATTACCGATTGATTGTTGTTCTTCAGTAGACTTACCCAAGTGGCCTTGGGGCAGGATCTGGTGCTGCTGGGGGACTTTAACTACCCAGTTATCTGCTGGAAAAGCAATATAGCAGGCCACAGATCATCAAACAAGTTCTTGGAAGGACTGGGGGAAATCTTTTAGTACAAAAGGTAAAGGAAGCAAACAGCGTGGCTGCCCTTCATGCCATCCTTACGAAACAATGAGATTAGTCTGAAAGCATCGAGTCTGTGGTTAGGGCAAGCACAGGAAAACAGGATAGAGAGTGTGGGCATTCAATCTGGTAGCTTCAACTGTACATATATTTAGCAAGCACCTACTCTATGCAAAGCACCATGCAATTGCGAGGAAAGCCCAAGAGTTCAAGGGTGTGTGTGTGTGTGTGTTAAAAGTACAACCCCATTGATGAAAAAAGAAAGAAGGGTGACAGCACTCCTCCTTTGGACTTCACACTTAACAGAGAAACATTTTGAATACATAGATGTGTAAATAAGAATGTAAAGGAAATCATTATAAGGCTAAGAGGAGGAACAGTCCTGGGAGCTAAGAAAAGTTCAAGGTTAGTTCTTAAACTGGACCATCTTGCTTAAAATCAGAGCATTGTAAGTTTTGATTAACTTTTTGCTAAAAATAGAACTGTGAGAGGAAAGAGATTAATAAGAGCGTCTTGACACTACGGACATTTAAACTCGGCATGCATACACACTGTTCATCTCTGAAGTTCCCAGAAGAGTACGACCCATCCTGACTCTGTCAGTGTGCATGGAGGCAGAGTCCCTGGGACAGCCTTGAGAGGTTCAAGCTCTCGAAGCATACTCCAGTAAGACAGAGACCCCATCCACTGACTACCATGTCACATTAGGATGAATCTAACAATAAGTGCACGCTGGTGAGAGCTCCACCACCCACTTATTTTTAACAATGCAATTTCAGTACAGAAGAGACAATTAGGGAAATACCTGCCTTGATACCTGGAAAAGCCCAGATAGCAAATCCTTCTTAGTAGTGCAGCTGATGATACCCAAATCCTCCCGTAAGAGATGAACTCTCCTTAAGTGAGATTTCAAGGCAGGCCTCTGCCCACTTCTTCTGGGATTTAATTCCCCCAGAGAAGCAAATGACTTCCTGGTCTTCCTCCAAGCTGAGCTGGCAAGCAAGGCTGGTGTTTTACACCAAGCTGCTTGAGCTCAAGTCTGCAGGTACCATCTCCAGCCAAGACATGCCCCTGCTGTTTTGTAGACTTGGGGCTGAAGGAGATGGAGAGGCCTTCTCTCTGATCATCTTTATTCCAAATTCTGCCCCTTGTCCCTAAAGATATTCTCTCTCTCATAACTTCTCCAAGATGTCACTAGTCACTGCACTGGGAGCTAGTAAGCGGCGCACTTCTACTTACTGAGAGGAAGGACGACAATAGGGATGTTCTTGGGACGCTTGCTTTCCTTGTCGATGAACTCGCCGGTGACAGTCTTCTCTCGCTCCGTCACCCGGCAGTTGTATTTGCCACTGTCTTCCTGGCGGAGGTGGTATATCTTCAGCACAAAGACGCCGTCACTCTCTTTGGCCACTTTAAGCTGTCCTTTGGCTTCACGGTGGGCAAATTCACTGTTGAGGACCGGCACAGCATTAGGTCCCATGGTGGCGATGAGTGAGCTGTTGAAGGCCCAGGAGACGGCAAAGTACCGGTCGGGAATGTTCTGAGCCTCTAGGATACATCTGAACTCCACTGGCTCGCCCACTGTGTGCAGCCTCTTATCGGTCTCCAGACGCACAGTAAACTCTTTGTCTGGGAACACAAACAAACTGGATGCATTCTGGGCAAATGAGAGCTGTAGTCCACCAAACTGCTTCAGGAAATCCTCATTCCCCTGAACTCCTTCATGACACGAACCACAGAGATGACTCAGTATTCATCTTGAGAGAAAATCCAACTCCAGCCACACAAATCCTTAAATACCAGAATCTCAGCCAAACCCAGGCAGTCTTAGGAGCTTACTACTCCCATCTAGACCAACAGGGCTCTGTCATAAAGTATGTTGCCCTAGATTACACCTCCAGTGCCTGAAGACAAGCCTAGCCTCACTTAGATGGCAGGTGGCAAAGGTCAGGCCTGAGCTCTGCTAGAGAAATGTGATTACATGTATGTCTGTTTGTTCAGCAGATACCGTAGGACTCACCTCACAGAGGCCTAGGAGACAAAATTAGTGTGGTCTAGGTGCTGACCCCAATTCTAGTCAACACTCAGACGAATTTACTGAGATTCTCCTCTCTACCACTACAGTAAGAACACTGAAAACTAGAAATGGGCAAGACAAACAGGCTGTATCTCACAGAGTGCCTTTGTACTAGCCTACAAACTGCCAGGTCATGACTTCAGCAGACAGCAGGAAAGAATCTACTTCCACTAACAGCCAGGCACCTCTGAGAATGGCCAAGGATCAAGGCAGGGACTCTTCCAAGAGCTGGATCTATCTAGGCGTGCTCGGGGGAGGGGGGCAGGTATCATCACTGTGAACAGCATCACACATCTCCAAGAAACAGTACACAGATGATGGTCGACTCAAGGGAGGTCACCTCTATCAGGAGGCACTCAAGGTGAAAGTGAGGGGACAGGACGAGGATTTGAGACTGGGAGGAAGTGGTATCATCTCCCCTTGCTGTGGGAGCCTGTAGCTCATAGCTCCTTCCAGTTCTAGATGTGTTCCTTGTAGAGACAGACTATGGGGGAGAAATCACATCACAGTGGTGTGTGAACTTTCTAAGGATTCAGCAACCTCAACACCACAGTGGCCTTCCCTCTGGAGCATTTCCAGGCCATCACTACCATCTTCAAGACCCATGCCTCACTCAGTTAGCTCCAACCCATCCCTCATGCTCTCGAAGCACAGGACAGTTCTGTTTTCCTGTGGAAATGGATCGTGAGAGCCAAGCAAGCATTTCTCTACTCGAGTCCAGCTCAGCCTCTCCCTCCTGCTGCCATGGATCTCTCGAACTTGTTCCTAGTCTTACCCCATGAGCTTTCCAGAACCTCACTTGCAGGTTCTGTCTTTAACAGCTCTGGGTGTGCCTGTCCAGTGACACATGAGTGTGTTGTGCTGTGACTGTCTCTGAGAGTCTGCTTACAAGGTGGATCCCTTCACTTGGTTACTAAGACAACCAGTGCTAACAAGTAAGCAAACCTCCCAGCAGGGCTCTGCATGTCCTCATGGCCCTTCATCCACCTTTCCTTCCCACAGTTCAGGGAACCACAGACGATTCCTTCATCACCTCTCTCCTTCCGTCTCCCCTCCCAGACCTCCACAGCCTGGCCCTATGAGTTCTTCACAGCCCTGTCTCTTGACGTCATAACCACCCTGTTAGAATTTCCACATGCCCCCCCCAACACACACGGCTGAGCTCTTCCTTCTAAATTACCAATCAGGTGGTTAATTCCTGGTCAAAATCTCTATTCCCTGCAGTGGGGGTTTTCCAACTTCATCAAGAGGTGTAAGCAGAGGGGACCTCCCTTACTTCATGGAAAATCATTACTGCTCAATAGGACAAACATGGCTAAAGACAAAGAGGGGCAGACAGGTTCTTGTCCTCTACCCACTGGTTCCCACACATCCATGTGAGAAAGCACACTCACCCAAGTGCACCTCTCAGGTGCCCCCCAGAGTTCCAAGAAGAATGGCTTGACTACTCTTGACACAGAGTCAAGTCCATTCTCGACCTCACAGCACATAGCTGCACGTACTTCCCCCTCCCTTCCCTTCCCGTTCCTTCCCTTCCCTTCTCTTCCCATCCCTTCCCTTCCTTTCTCTTCCCTTCCCTTCCCTTCACTTCCTTTCCCTTCCCTTCCCTTCACTTCCTTTCCCTTCCCTTTCCTTCCCTTCCCCTCCCCTCCCCTCCCCTCCCTCTTCTCCCCTCCCCTTCCCTTCCCTTCCCTTCCGTTCCCTACTGCTCAATCTAGAACCCAACATCTGGTCACTTCTGCTGCCACCTACCAAATGACCTATGCCCTCTCACATTTCCTGCTGCTGTCTGCTCAACCTTGACACAGTTCAAGTCACCAGAGAAACTGGAATTCCCAGGTTTGCTGTAACAGCCATCTTATGCAGAGAAAATGTAGAGCAGAAACAGCCTTCACTGCTCACCTGGCACTTACCACCCTAAGTGCACAGAGCACCGTCATTCACCTTGGCACCCCCGGTGCTTGCACCACACCTTCCATGCTATAAAGACTAATGTCTGTGGGAATAAACATGAAGAAGACTGGAAGGTGGATGCAGCTCCTGAGCCTGGACAGGAACACTCAGTGAAGTTATCAACATTTTTTTCCATTAAAATTTTCCTTTGCTGGCTTAGTCTGAATATATTTGCAGGGCAAATTCAAAATGTCCTAATTCTAAATTGGTAAGATTAAAATAAAGAAGATTAGCTGATGCAACCTAATTTAGAAGCACTAAGACCTGAAATTAGGCCCAGACTTTTTGACACTGATCTTAAAACTAACCAGGAAGGAAAATGATAAACAGGAACTAAAGCCTCTTGGATAAACTTAATATTAGAAGACCCAGAAGCCACTAAGAGCCCTGGTCCCAAGTATGAATCACGTGTGCTCTTTTCACCAAGAATCCAAGTGTCCAGAGGATGCTCTCAGCCCTGCCTCCTCTAGAGCTGTGCAAGATAAAATGTAGCTGTTAGTATCTGGGCAGCTATACTGGCCTGTTCTTGGAGTTCTGACAGGATACATCCTCAGCTGCAGTCACTAAGAGCACCACCTGTGCACATTCACTATGTTCCCTTTTAAAAGGGCCCTGCCCACCTCCCATCCTTCTCTCTCTCTTTCTCTCTCTCCCTCTTCCCCCTCTCCCTCTCCCTCTGTGCCCCTATGCCATCTCTCCTGCTGCTCCTGTCCCAGGAGGCCAGTCTCCCCCCACTCCCCTTTCTATTTTATTTGATCTCTTTCCCTGATTTTAAAAAAAAACCCTCTGCTTGAATCCTGTCACATGGTGTCCTTCTCCCTCTCAAGCTACTGTTTTTGAATTACAACAGTAGACAGGTAAAGAACAACGTGGGAAGTAAGTACATCAGAAACACAGTTTCCCAGCCGCACCCCCAGGAGTCTCTGAGGAGGGACTTCAGGGATGTCAGAAAGTATGGTATTAGGTGACTGTGAAGCATTGCTCTCAAATGCCCTCCGCCACCCCAGTGATAGCAAGATGACCATCCTCCAACCAAAGCCAGGCCCCCATGAGAACCTCCCTCAGCTCAGCCAATGCAAGACAACTGCATTTGTTCTAACCGGAGCTCTGCAGGTGCAAGAACCTGGAGTAGAACCTGGAGTCTCAGGAAACACCAAGAGAAGCTGTGGAAAACTTCGGCTTGCCAGGCCACCATACTTCCTCAGCCATTCTTTCCCCTCAGGGACCCTACCCAGGCCTTCCCTTGACAAAGTGTCCTTGGCAGGACCTAATATAATACTCTACACCAGCCTCACAGCACACCCTCTGATTATTCCCCGGGACACACCACAGCATGTTCTGCATTCACTACGCTCACCTACAATATGAGAAAGCCATCCTAACTTGCCTCACAGACATCACAATATGTGTTAAAGCATTTACAAGTTCTAAAAAAAATTGGCAAGAATATTAATATAAAAATAATAGTACACTAACATCTCCTTAGTTTGTAATTTCACACATCCAACAGAAGACTTTTCACCTCAAATGTCCTCTGCAATTGAAATATCATCATACTGGGTAGCATCATGGCTAACACAAATGGGACACAAAGATTTTCTGTGAAATCTCTCATTTTTAAATTTTTTTAAAAAAAGGTTACTCATTTAATTTTACATGTGTCTTGTCTGCATGTATATGTGTATATCATATGTGTGCTTGGACATCAAAAGAGAGCAAAGGATCCCCTGGGACTGAAGTTAGGAATAGTTGTGACCAACTAAGTGGGAGCTAGGAATTGAACCTGGGTCCTCTACAATAGCACTAAGTGCTCTTGGTTACTCTCCAGTCACATTTTTCTGCAAAATTTCTCATTTTTAAAAATCAAATTTCTTATTCAAAATACTGTATGATGTCATAGTAAGGAAACACGGCAATGAGCAGGAGACCAGTGTGGGCAGCTGTCTGTGGCTCATGGCAAGTTGGGTCTGTGTATGCTTGTTTTTTCCAGTTGATATTACAACCATCTCTAACCTCACCCAAAACCCTGCAACATTGTCATGGTCACCGGACAAGGTGTCCCCACACCCCCCTGGTGTCTAACTCCCCACCAGGTAGAGGACAAGAAACTGAGAGAGACTGACCGGTAGGCTGGATGTTGACGACAGCACCCTCAGAGCGCTTCCTGGTCATGGCATACCAAGAGCCATCTGGATCCTGGATCCACTCGGCAGCCTCACAGTAGAACTCGCCCTGGTCAGAAGGCTGCAGGTGGAAGATGGTGAGGCGGAAGGTGGTTCTCCCCAGCTTGTCCAGCCGCACCTCCCCCAGGCTCTGCCTCTGGGCATATTCGCTGCTGGAGTGTAGGACGAAGTCTCGACTCAGGGCAATGACCTCCACAGGCTTCTCGCCACCCTTCCGCCGAAGCCAGGATACTGAGAGGTGGCTGTGCTGGTCGCTCTCAGTGGCCACTTCACAACTGAGCTCCAGGGGGTCCTGTTCCACTTTGTGCAGAGTTTGGGGGACAGCTGTGGTCTGCAGGGAATCTGGGATCACTGTAACATAGAATGTTCCCACGGAGAATGTTTACAAGGCTACAGAACCTGAGACTTACCTTCCAGGAGGCAAGGGTCCTACTCCACACAGAAACCACTGTTACTGCCTCAACAGAGGCAGCTCTGACAACGGATTCAAGGCCACAGACAACCCCCAAAGGCATATAAACCTAAATACGCTTTTCTTTTATAACAGCCAAGATAATATTTTTGGCATTGGCTGATGCCTGCTTGGTATTTTAATGACACTCAGAGCAAAGATAGATTTTATTTTGAAAATGTGTACAACAAAGAACTCCCTGAGAATATGGTATAAGAATAATCACTGAGGTCTAATAAGATGTGTTGTTGATGTTGGTATTGCTTCGAGGTACCTTAGTCTCACTTCTGACTGGGAACGGCTCCTGGCCTTCTGGCTTTTCATTCCTATACAGCCTTCCGTTTTCCCTTCTGGGACCACTCTCCATCCCATCTCCCAGTTTACCCCATCAATGCATGGTGCTTAGAAGGACAATGGGGAGTGGGAACACAGAAGGCCATCATTATTCCCTATTTCCCCCTTGTATGGGGATAGAACCTAGGACCTCATGCCTAATAGGCGAGTGCTCCACCACTGAGCCACGAGCCCAGACTCTGCCTCTTCAATTTGTAGTCAGAGTCTCACTATGTTGTCCAAGGTGGCCTTGAACTTGTGATCTTCCAGCCTCAGCCTTCCCAGTGGCTGGATTATAAATGGGCACCACTAACCCTGGCCTGTTCCCCTTCTCATGATTCATCAGTGTGGCCCACAGCAGAAGGAGGTCACAGCACCCAGAGGATCTGGGCAAATGAAGCCACTGCTGTGTCCCGTCACTGGAGTTTTATTCTGACCTTTATGTTTCTGAAGACTAACTGCCACCTCCACTGCGTTGCCTCTGCAGCCTGATAAAGGCGCTCCAGTCAAGACAAGGTTATGTTTTCCCCCTATGCCTGTCCCAGGATTGAGGCTTACAAAGACAACAGGCTCATTACAGAAGCTAAACATAAGCAAAGGCAGGGTCCTCCTTGACAGGACCTACCAGCACGTCCTGCTTAACTGTGAAACAGTAGAGATCAGGGCGTGGGTACAAACAACAACAGCCTTGCTGTTGGCTGTCCCATCTCACCAGCACTGCGTAGCCAGGGGTGTCTGCACTAAATGCTCCCCTGTCTTCCAGCTTACATCTTCTCCAACATACAGAGAGCACTGAGAGAGACAGGCAGTTCATAGCTTCTTAGCATGCAGCCAGGGAGGTCTGGGTACCTGGAACCCTACTCTGGCTCTGCACCTCAAAACCTGTCTTTTTTGCTCATCATTTCTGAGAAATGGAGTCCAGGGCATTTCACCTCAAAATAAGGACCCAAAATTGAGTGTTCCGATTACTTCACATCAAAGAAAGGTCCTTTGGATAGTAGTAGATGACCCGAGCAGCAATATTCCAATGCCTGTCTGCCCAAAGATCAGGCCTGCTGAAGGCGCTCTTACTATTTCTTCTCTGGATTTGCTATTAATTAAATGTGTGTCAACAGGGAAGAAGTTTAAAATACACGCCTACTCGTGGGCAGCTTCAGTCACAAGCTACTGTCTGTCTCTGAGATCCACTCGGTTCCCAAAAGAACCATTACACCTGTAGGAGAATCCACCCCTGTTGTCCACTAAAATCACTTACTGTACCTCAAACCGATCTCATTCCTCTATCACTCTCTCCCCTCTGAGCATCTGGAACTCACAGTATATGAGCAGAAACTCCCCTGAGATTTCCCTCACACACATTACTGCACTTCTGTTGCGATCTTCCTGTTAGATGGACTGTCGCTTCCTTCTGCTGGGGTGGGAACTTTGCCCCTGCTCTATAGGGGCTTCGCCTCCTTCCTGCTGATCTCACCCACTTTACCTTCAAGCCATGCATCCAAAATGTTACCCACAAATGTCCTTGCTGCAGGGCACTCCTGGATGCTGAAGATACAGGCATGCGGCACCACACCCGGAGCTCGCCTTTCACCAGGAAAGGTCTGGTTCTTAATGTTTGCACAAAAACCTTCCCAAGTGTCAGCCTTAAAACAGTGTTCACAAGTGTACACAGAAATTGTGCTCACTTGTGCTTCCTAATGCATGCTAAGACATTTAGGGATTTTTTTTCAGTCATACAGTAAGTAGCAAAAGTGTATGGCAACAGAAGGGACTCAGGCCTGACACTGGCCACCCAGATGCAGTGTCTCCTTACCCACTAGGTTCATCTTGGCACTGTAACTTCCAAAGTAGCGCTCATCAGTGTTGGGGGTGTGACATTCATACTCCCCCGCATCCCGGGCTTGCAGCTCTGTGATGTGAAGTAAGACCGAGTTCCCCTGAATTCTCTCCACGTAGATCTTCCCACCTAGGACTCGTTGGGTGTAGATAGCGTAAGGGAAGGAGGAGTCCACCGTGCTCACAATTTGCACTTCACGCTCAGGGGCGGAGGGCAGGTAAATGGACCACTGGAAGTTCTGCTCAGAGGGACCCTGGTAGCCACTCACATTGCACCAAATGGTGATGTGGGAGCCCTCTGTGCGGTACAAGGGTCCTTCCTGGACGGTGACCTGTCGCTGCGCTGACACCGCACCTAAGGGGAGACAGACACAACAGTGTGTTTACTTTTCTGACCAAATGCAAAACAGACCCTAGTCCCCAGAGGATTGTTATTTGTGTGACATGATGGCAATATAAATAGGTTACTGGCCCTTTCCAAGGCACTCTGTGATTTATAAATATTAATTAAAACACTGTAGTAAAGCTCTGTATCTAATTTGCATATATGAGAATTTGATCGCACAAGGACGTGGGCCTGTTACTTATTCAACACTGACCCTTGTGAATTTCATTTGGTCTCTCTGTCATTTATACGGCAGTTTTATATCTACTTATTAGTGCTGTTTATAAAGTTTTTAATAAAATGAACAGGAAGAGTTGAATCCTTGGCACAAATTCAGCCAAAAACAAATAAAAGCAACCGCCTTGTGATCCGGCTGAAATTAAATGTTTCTCCCATGATTAGCAGGGCTGGCCCAAGAAAGTCATTGAGTCCTTCTTGGGGTGGGGGCGGGGCTGCGTTCTTTATTTCCAGCTCATCCCAAGGAGCATCCCCTTTTCCCTGTACAAACAGAGGCAGGCAGATCCTGCAATGGCTGTCGGTTCATAGGGAGTAATGTGAAGCTGAGCAGACTCCCGCCAGCTGACCATGCAGAGAGAGGCAGAGCCTAGGAAGAAACAGTTAGCTGCCCTTGGGCTCTTAGCCCTGACTGACCCACCGAGCCCCTGCCTCTTGGTTCCGGCACAGCTCTCCAAGGTCACTTCTGCCTCTGCCTACCCACCCCCTCTATGCCTTCACACTGCATCTTCTTGGCAGGGGCAAAAGTTAAGTATGGAGACTCAAGCTTCTCAGCCCATGCCATGGGCTATGCTTCCGACAGGGTCTGGGTGTGCTCCACAAGGAAGGGGTTCGCATACTGGAAGCTGAGCCTTTGCAGGGAGAAGAGAGTAGGGTGGAGCCTTCAAGAGCTCGGGCCTCGGTAAGAAGAGGCCAGGGGATCACTAGAAGGGATCAAGGCTAGTAGCTGGGATGAGTTAGCTTTCACAAGGGTGCACTGTTATTAAAAACAGACAAACAAAAAACCCAAACCCTCCATCTCTGGCTTCCTGCCTCGCTATAAGATGGTTACTCACTCTGACACACTACATTTTCCTGCCAGGTCCATCACCATGTTGTGACACGGTCAAGAGGGCCCTCACCAGAAACACCACCAACCAACAGTCTCTGGCCTTTGTTCTCTAAAACCATGGGCTAAGGAAACTGCTTCTCAGAATGAAACACTCCGCTGTGGGATTTTATTACAATAGAAACTGACTGTTAGTTGGGCAGTGGCAGCGGACACTTTCCATCCCAGCACTCAGGCGACAGAGGCAGGTGGACACTGTGAGTTCAAGAACAGCCTCAGACCAGACACAGAGAAAGTTCCAGGACAGCCAGGGCTACTCAGAGAAACCCTGTCCCAAGAAAACTAAAAAAGAAGATGAAGGAGGGCTAAGAGGGGGAGGAGAGGAAAACGGATTGCTGTAGCTGATTAGTCCTGAGCCACTCAAACACGGAGAGGCACCTCTGCATGCTCCCTGGGCAGCAGCTGGGTGTGGCAGATGGCAGAGACAGCAATGTGTGGCAGAAAGAGCATCTGAGGCCTGGCCTCAGAGGTTAGCACAGCTCAGACCAGGCACAGCCGTGTCATCGTGGGTGTGCATTTGTCTCCAGACCTTGGTCTCATCTTATAAGAGGACTTCTGAGAGGCCGGTGTTGCAACGCTGGCTGTCACTCACCAGCTGAGACCTTGGATAAGCTTCTTACGGCCTCCAAGCCTCAGTTTCCTCGTGTGCAAGATGGAAAAGATGACATAAAGTCTCTCACCAATCAGTACTCAATAAGAAGATGCTGTCTCAAAGTGGCGGAAGCACACGAGGGACCTGGATCTGGAGACAGGCCTTGGTTGACAACTGCTCAGGGACACTCTGTAGCCTCCTGTGAATGAGCACATCAAGGTTGCTCACACTACGCAAATGCAGTCCACTCCCACGAAACTTTTCCTTCTGCTCAGTAGAAACTTAGCTCAAGCCGACTCAGCTCTTACAGAGGTGGGATAACGTCAGTCCTAGCGGGCATAGCTCAGTCCAGTCCAGACGGCCCTCAGGCCTCAAAGCCAGCTAGTCTACTCTGCAGGACATCAGACTTCCAAAGGCCAGCTGTGCGAACAAAAAATAATAATAATAATCCTTTTTTTGTTTGCTTGTTTTACAAAGGGCAGGGAGGGGTTAAGGAGAGAGCTTAGTTGGTTAATGTGCTTACAACACAAGAATAGGAGCTGAACTTAGCTCCAGCGCCCGCTGGCTAGGCATGGTAACCCACATCTGTAATCCCAGCACTGGGAAGGTAGTGTTAGGAGGTTGCCCTAGGACTTGCTGGCCAACAGAGTTAGCCAACTTCCGTGTAGTGGGCAGAGCAAGGGGGAGCTCCGAGTTTTAATGAGAGACTTTGTCTCAAAGAATAAGGTCTAAAGGTGATGGGGTGGGGGGAGGGTAGTCGCCCGTGCCTTGAATCCCAGCACTGAGGAGGCAGAGGCAGGCAGATTTCTGTGAGTTTGAGGTCAGTCTGGCCTATAGAGTGAGTGCCAGGACAGGCTCCAAAGCTACAAGGAGAAACCCTGTCTCAAAAAACCAAAAAAAAAAAAAAAGTGATTAAGAAAGATACCCATCATTGACTTTCTTCTCCATATACATGTACATGTATGTCTATGCATGTGCACACACATACCCTGCACTGAAACTCCTCCCACGCCCAGTCCCCTGCAAACAAACACACACACGGGAAGAGAATACCTAAGCAGGACAAAGTGACATGTAAACCTGCTTGATGACAGTCATTACTATATTTAAAGTCACAGAGAAGGCAAATTTTCAACAGTAAAATTTGGCACCTATTGGGTACTTTTTGTTTGTCCGTGTCCCCCGGTCCTATCCCCAGAACCCTCCCCCCCCCAGACAGGGTTTCTCTGTGTAACAGTGCTGACTATTCTGGAACTTGATTTGTAGACCAGGCTGGTCTCGAACTCACAGAGATCCACCTGCCTCTGCCTCTCTGCCTCTCTGCCTCTCTGCCCCTGCCCCTGCCTCTCAAGTGCTGGGATTAAAGGCTTACACCACCACCTCCCAGCAAGTTTTGGGTACTTTTATGAAATTTAAATACACATACATTATGACAGTTCAAACATTTGAGCACTCCTGGAATGTACAAGAGTATGAAAGTGACTTGACTACAATCATGACATTAGGCCTCCTTGAACTTCGGTCTGCTTTGTATTTCAGGGATCTGTCCCTGAACAGCTACAAACATGCCCTGCCCATTCCAAAGAACGGGGACGGGGCAGGTCAGAGAACTCTAGCACCTTCCTTTCTGGACTGCTGCTCATCTTTGGACCCACAATGGAATCACAGGGGCACTGAGGTAGGGAAAGCTTCAGGAAATAACAGTCACTGCCTTGATGTAATCAATCTGGGCTGCAGCCTGGGGGAGCTGATGCTCTCCTTGTATCGTGTGGTTTCCAGGGATTGAACTCAGGTCGCAAGGCTTGATGGCAAGTGCCCTTACCATCTCATCAGCCCCATGAAGCTCAGCATACGCATCAAGATTTTTAACTGTCCCCATGTAATCCTGAGTATGTGTATCAGACTTAAGAACTGTCTGCCTTGGGGTTGGGGAGATGGCTTCGTTGGCCATACAAGCATAAGGACCTGAGTTCAGATCCCCATTACCCATGTGCAAGCTGACATGGGCACACAACTATGATCCCAGTGCTGGGAAGGTGCAGACAGGTGCAGCCCATCTCGCAGATTCAGTGAGCTCCAGGCTCAGTAAGAGATCCTGTCTCAAAGGAAATAAAGCAGAAAGCACTCAAGGAAGATATCCGATGTTGAATGCTGGCCTCAAGTGCATACTCACATGTGTGTGCGCGCGCGCACACACACACACACACACACACCCGTCGGCCTTAAGACGTCTCTTTTCTGAATAGAACCAGTCAGGTGCCCAAATGGACGGACACATTCTAACTGAAAGCTCTCAACAGTGGGTTTTGAAGATTGCACAAAGTGCCATTCTCCTCTTGTCTTTTCTTGTCCAAAACAGCAGCTGAGCCCCAGCTGATACAATATATGGCAATGAGCTTAACTATATCTTACACAGGCACAGATCCCTTACCCCGCCCCCACAAAGGGTAAAGAGTGTTAAGTGCCTGAATGAGCAGGGCAATAGGGTCAGAACAACTCGTCCAAACAGGAAGCAGATTACAATCAGTCCTGACAAATAAACAAACCCCGTCCTGTAAGTTAGCCACGCCGGCAATACCTGTTTATTAACTGTCCGTCATTCCCTCCCACCCAACAAACAGCTCTTCATCCCTGAAAATAGGGTTGTTCTTAGAAAGGGTTTTCTTGCTTATTTATATTTGCTTTTCAGACACGGTCTGTTCACTAGTTAGCAAGGCTAGTTTTGAACCTTTGCCAATTCTCCTGCCTCAGCCTCTCAAATGCCAGGATTATAGCAGGGAGTACACGTTAACACAGAAATAAAGTGAGCTTTCTTAATAGACTAATCTCTTCCACACTCTGTAGTCTTCCAACTCCGCCCACAACATTCACCTGACTCTTCTCAGCCTACAACAGCAGGTTCCTCCCCATGAGGAACAATTCTTAAAAAAATAATTACAACTTCAGGTGTTTGGTACTCTTCAGATTGCTTTGTAACAGGAAAATATCACTTCTGCAACGAGAAGAGAAAAAGTGCCATATATAGTCATATAAAAAGGACTGGAAAATAAATACCGGGTCATAGGATGACAAGTGATTTTATTTCCCTTTTTATATTGCACTCCTCCGCAAGGAGTATAAACCAAAGCTTTACCCCAAAACAAAAATGATACCTGACTGCAGTACAAAATGTCTTCTTTAGTTACTAGCATAAACATTTGCATGCACTATCTATATTACAGCATATATATACACATATACATAAATATATATACA